AAACACGCTCAAATAAGCACTAACACTACTACTAATACTATTAAGTTCGGCAATAATATGTTCGAAAGGATATTATACGTATTTAAAGCGTTTAGATTTTGTCTAATTTACGTTTAAATTTTGCCTAATCATGGAAGTATAAAACAGGTGGAAGTTCAACCACATTCAAATTCTTCGGGACTATGCTTGAAACCTTTTGTTTCGTAAACAATAAGAAAGCGACATCAAGACTGTACATAATCGTTTAATCTTTGTAAGTTGACGCAAATACGTTTTTATACGTTTATAATAATTTAAAAGTATAGTATTTTGAAGGTTCGCAAATAATATTCAAGAAAAACATTAAAAATGACGCAACGAAACAGCAAACAATAACTTTTTTATAAACTTCATATTAAAAGAATAGAGTACTACAAGAATGAATGGAATTATGATATACAGCTAATGAAACTTTAAACTTTAGTTATTAAGAAAACAATTTTTTTGATTATTTAAAAATTGTTTTCGTTGTCTTTTTAATCAAGTAGTCTATTATAATTTGAAGCAAGAAAAGAAACTTAAACTTACATACGCTTTTAAAATCACGAGGTTTTATTTAATTACTGAGTTCTAATAAACCTTTTGATGAATAATTGCAATTACTAATGATTAAAACTTTGCAGCATATCCCTAGAATAATTCATTTTTTGATGTTTTAATAAAAATCATTTCAGTGAATTTTGTCCAGTGAAACTTATTGTCGGTTTCAAGCATACTTCCGAGACGACTTGAAATTGCTCTGATGAACTTCTATCTGTTTTATACTTCTATGGTCTAATAAACGTTTATAAAGGGTTAAGATTTAGTCTAAGTAAACGTATATTAAACTTTAGATCTTGTCTAATAGTTTCTTTGATTTAGTTAACGTAAGTTCGACTTATTTAAGTTTTAAAAATAATATACATTAAAATTACGTTATAACTTTGTAACTTTATATAAGTAATGAGAGCTATAGGTCTTCAAATTTATAATTAAGATGTAGTTATAAAAGACCTGGTCTTATTTTTTATATTTTTATAATTATTATAATATGTTTATGAACTTTTATAGTAAACTACTTATACTATACTTTTATTTTATAAAACTATATATAAAGTTATAAACTTATATAAAACGTTTTCATATAGTGGGGATTTAGAGAAAAAATGTTTGTGCACTATACTTGTTTATGTTTCGATAATTAAAAAAAATTTAATGATCAAGCTTTTTGCAGTGGAAATTTTATAGCAACAATTTTTATCAAATATTTTTTAAATTTAACCTCATTAGCAAAAAATAAAAGTTTACATTAAGATTAAGTCAAAGATTACTAATAAAATTAATAAACTCATAAATAAATATTTTTGATAACTGTTTTTTCTGGTTTATGCATTATCAAAAAAATCTTCCTAAAATATTTTCTACCACTTGTTCATCATGCACCTGTTTGTGCAACATTATCTTCTACATTCGTATCCTGATGTCTGATTTCATAACCTGATTAGTAGTCGCAAAAAACTATGGTAAAATAGTTAACATTTGAAATATACAGTTTTCTGCACCATCCATGCTTATTTTTGACATTAACATACTAGTAATGTCACGACATAACATATGGTTGTTACCAACTCTTTAACAGATGAAACTAAATTAAGCTAAAATGCATTTAAAATAAAAAATTAATTATTTAATTATTAAACCTCTTGATTGATGCAAAAATGAATACCTACTGTTACGCAATCTTACTAGCATTTACAAAATGAATTTAAACTGTTTATAAAATTTACGAAAAAAGTTCTTGCAGCAGGAGTTTCATAACAAGAGACCAGCAACTCATATTTTTTAACTGTGTCAATGTCGCCATCAATAATTTCTAAAACATCTGAGTCCAATGATTTGTTGGCATTTAGGATGGTAGATTGTTGCGATAAGAGCATTTTAACTTCCATGAACTAAAATGGCGTACCCGACACTAGATTATTATTTATTTATCAGTTGCTTTGCTTTCAGTTGTTGTAAAGAAGTGAATTTTGAAACACATTTAAGCCTAATTTAAATATTTAGCCAATAAAAAATAATTTTAAAATAAGTTTTTTTATTTCGTTTTAATTATGCCCATTTAAATCGCGTGACTTAAGCTGTTATGTGAGTTTTCTTACCAATGGCTATATTACTATATTATAATATAATAAACGTTTATTAAACGTCAATCAAACGTTTAGAATAACGACTTATATTAGTCATACTGTCTTATAACGAATAACGACATATTGTCTTATAAAGAATAACGACTTATTGATGTGTTATTATTTGTTGATGTCAACAAATAAAGCGTGCTGTTGTGATACGGACCAAGTCACAAATGAAACGAAAACGCCCTTAGTATAGTTGAAATATGCACTTCAACGAATCAGGTCGGAAAGCTCAAAATAAATAAGTACCGATGAATATTTGGCAATCAGTTATTTGGTGGATTGGCAAAGCGCATTGCAGAATATTCGGTATTCGGCAAAAATTACTATTCTTGGCATCACTTATAATTACATCTTAAAAATGTTAAAAAAATAAACAAAATGTTGCTTTAGATAAAAAATGGTATTAAATCATTTTCAATAAATGTTAGATGTGGTTAAAAGTTTTTTTTCTGTGTAAATGTCAACAAAAAAAATTGCACTCTAAAGTTACTATATTTGGAAAAAATAAACGTTTTGAAAAGGAACAGTTTAATAAAATTCTTAATAATAATCAGTAAGAATAAAAAAAAAAGTGTCATGCAGTGTTCAAATATAAACCACTAGAGCTAGCGGTTTGTTATTATAAATAATGTAAATGTAATTCATATCTACACTAAGTCAAGCAGTCTAATTTTTTTAATCTCCTTAAGTTAAACAATTTTTCTTTTTGTTCATTGAGTCATTTAATAGGTAAATTTTAAATAACCTCAAATGCCAAAATGTTTTTAATGATAAAAAAATATAACTATATTCTGTCATAAACATTGTCAAATACTCATATTGTTATAAAACGCGACATCCACGCAAAACGCGACACATTTACACGGAAAAAAAAAAAAAAAAAAAAAAAAAAACTACATAGATAATTATATTATATTCCATACTTGGATACAATTATCACAACTAGATTTCTCTTCAAAAACTCGAATATAACAATTTTTGTAAAATAAAAAATCGTTAATCTACATATACCTTAACGATGAAATTACTAAATATTATTTGAAATAAGATTTTTAGCATAATTATTATTTACTTTATAAATATTCTTTGTAAATATGCTTTATAAGTATACTTTAAAGTCTATTTAACATATTGGTTATACTCTTAATGTATACTTGTTTGATATTTTAAAATATCTTAAAGCAGTTGTGTCGCAGTGGTTAGAGTTCTGACTCATATTTTGATACCTAAAATGCAACATTGGTATGGATGGAAACTTCCTGGTGGAATGACCTCTGCGGTGCTCTGCGATAAGACCGTAAAGACCATAAAGACCGTAAAGACCATAAAGACCGTAAAGACCATAAGACCGTAAAGACCATAAAGACCGTAAAGACCATAAAGACCGTAAAGAGCACCTTAACAATTAAATGAAAAAAAAAATAAAATAAAAATAAAATCAAGAACATATAAATTAAAGATAAACGTAGACTTCTAATGAAATATTTATACGATCATAACCTCAGGCTCAGCCTCAGACCTTTATTAATTAATTTTATTTAACTTTCTATTGAGTTTGGTTTAATTTAAAATATCAAATTAAAAAATGTAACCTTGAGAAATACTATGCAACCATTGAGAAATACTATGCAACCAAGCATGAACTTGATTATCAAAAAAAAATTTAAACTTTATCGTATAATCAAAATCGCATCTTTTGAATTTTTTTTTTCAGCAATTTTTAAATTTGAATATGTAAATAAAATATCAAATCTATGGAGTGTCTGTTTGCACGTTTTTTCACGGGCAAATAGACAATATTTGATTATAATCTATTCTTATATTTAATTAGAATCTATATTTAATAATAATAATCCATAATTAATTGTAATCTATTCGCACGTTTAAAAAAAAACGGGGAAAAGCCTTCGAATTTAATAAAAATTGAAAAGACATATTTTTTATATGTTGTTTTCAAATTTAAAAGTTTTAAGATAGCGCAGTGTAAATTAACACAAAACAGTTAAGTGCATACATATATAGACTAACTAAGGATAGACGCAGTAAATACATAGACAACGATTTTGGTTTCGGTAGGCAAAAAAAAATGTTTTTCAAAGTTTATTTTATCCATTCGCACGTTATTTTTTTATTTATTTTAATTTTTTCGAGAATGAAAATTTAATTATGTTTAAGAAGTTTTAATATTTATTTCTACTTTAGATTAAATTGTTTTAAAAATACATGACCTAACTTATAAATAATTATTTTCTTTTAATTTTCATAATGAAAAAAATTAACTTTTACGTTTTTATTTTAACGTGCAAAAAGACTACAACAAGATAAAAACTATTTCCACGTACGTGCGAATAATCTCAACCTTAAAAAAATCACACTTTTTAAGACTTCCGTTTCCGCTTGTTGGGTAATCACAAAGCTTACTGGGTAATGATAAAGTTTGCAAGTGAGCTCAACCCAACACGTGGTTCACAATGATAAACCCATATTGAAAAACTTATATCTTATAATAAATATTTATTTAGAATTATAATGTAATTAAAGAGAATAATTGCTAAAATTTTTATTATAGAAAAATGCAGAAGGATGTTTGTCTTGGTAATGTTTCCCGAACATTTACGAAACTTATTTAATAAGGGTTTTTTAAATAAATAACTTAAAAAATCGCGAAAAATCGAAAAAATCGAGAAATAATTTGTCACAAAAATACACAAATTTGCCCAATTAAATTGATATGACATCATTTTAAACCAACGGGAGTACAGTTAAATCATTTTTAACCAACCAAAACAATTTTTATCATGTGATTTTTGTCTATAAATTCTTGCGCTTCAGCGTAATTACATTAGTTGAGCTTCTACAGTGTTAGAACCAGCATAGTGTTAAAAAATTTTTTATAAACTAAAAACATTACTCAAACATAAAAATCATGGTTACTCAATGCAGACAGAACTTTCACGATGAAAGTGAAGAAGCAATTAACAACCAAATAAACATGGAGTTGTATGCAAGCTATATGTATCTATCTATGGTACGTTTGAAATAATTTTAATAAATTTTTTTAATATCAATTTTAAAAGGTTTGATCTCAAAATTGAAACAATTTTTTCGACTTTAAGTCACCATATGAAAAATATATAAAAGAAAAATATTTATAAATGTTTATACTTTATTTATAAATATTTATATTTTATTTATAAATATATTTATAAATATTATTTATAAATATATTTATAAATATTATTTATATAAATCAAAATCATTTAATATTAAATGAAGAGGATTAATGAAGTCGTTTGAAATTTTTAACTTAGTTCCATACCAACTAAACAAATACTCTGAAATTTCCTGATAATTTAAGTATTATGGTTTGTGAAATATATAACAAAATTTTGAATTTTAACAGGCTTATCATTTTGATCAAGACGATGTTGCGTTAGACGGATACTTCAAGTTTTTCAAGCATCAGTCAGACGAAGTACGCGAACATGCTCAAAAAGTAAACGTCGTTTTTTTGTGTGAACTTTTTTTATTTTTAGTGTCTGTTTTGATCATGTTTAATTAAGTTATTTATTCATTTTTTTATCTATATTTACGTTTCATAAACAATATTCTTATTGCTTTCAATTTTTAGCTTATGAAATACCAAAATAAACGTGGTGGTCGTGTAGTTTACAAGGATGTTCAAGCTCCCCAATTTCAAGTGAGTACGCCAGTGTCAGCCTTAGAAGCAGCGCTTGAATTGGAAAAGAAAGTAAACGAGTCGTTGCTGAATGTCCATGCCATTGCTGGAAAACACAGCGATCCCCATTTGTGCCTTTTCTTAGAAACAGAATTCTTGGATGAGCAAGTCAAGTCAATCAATGAGATCGCTAAACTGATTACTAACGCTAAGAGATGCGGCGATGGTTTGGGTGTCTATCAGTTTGATAAATTGAGCATGTCAAGTTAAATGTCAATGTTTTTTTGATTGTTTTGCCTTGAGGACTAAACAGTGTAAACAATGTTTATTATTAAAGAAAAAGAAATCTTTAAAAAAAGTTCTTTTTTATTTGAATTTGAACTAGTAAATTTGTATTGGTTTTTCTTTTTAATTGATAAATTCGCTATTGGTTTGAAAAATATAACGACAATGCAAGCGCGATAGCGGTCGCATGTTTTGGTCGTTAACAAAAAAAGTTGGGTAGAGGAACACGTGCCCCCCCCCCTCCCGGTGTTGCTGGCTCTGTAAACAAGTTTGTATAAGTTCAGGTGGAAACTTTTGCGAACTAGAATTGCCAAATGTTTTATCTAAAATTTATCTGAATGACTATATGGCGCGCAGTATGCTCAATAGATTTTATGGCTTCACAAGGAGAGATTGACTGAATGAATTAGGTTTTTATCTTCAGTAAAAACAACGCTAAATGATGAGCTATTTTGATTGTTATAAATAGGAATATAACAATCGAGTTGGTATGAAGACAAGAGACCCTCTCAAGTTATTCTTATTTACAGAAAAGCTTGTTTAAGTAAATGCTTATTGCAAACTTTTTTTCCGTGAGCTTGGCGCTTTAAATATTTATACACGGCGGTTATTTTTGATAAATTTTCTCTCACTTACTAAGTTTTGCGAGGTTTTAAAAAGTTATTTCGTTACGGACTTAATATAAAGATATTTACTAAATTTGTTTTAAAAATTACAGAAAAGTATTATGCAAATTACCACGCATAACTTTTAGCACTTCTTTTTGCAAAATAGTTTTAAAGGAAGACTATAAAAATTAATGTAAAACTAATTATATTAAAATAATGCAAAAGACTTTTGCCAGATAATAATGCCATGACTACGTTATGAAGATTATGACTACACAAAAGATCCCACACACTATAAATACCACCATCATTACCTTATTGAATAAATTCCATATTTTTTAAAATTATTTCTCGATTATCCTTATTCATTTTTCATAATGACTTAATTTGTCTTATGTTTTTTTGAACGTGTTTATCAACAGTCATAAAGTTAGTCGAAAAATTATTTGACCATTTAGATTTTGCATATTACTATTGGTCAATCAGTCTTTTTAATATTAGATGTGTAATGCATTTAACTCTTTTTCAATCTCTGCTTGTTCAGATAAGTCACAATATCATTGTTTAAGTTATCTGTCCGTGATGCTTATAAGAAAAAAGAAAAATTTGTAATTATTTCCAAAATACAAAAAAAAAACAGTAAAATTTAGATTTAAACTTTTAAAAACGCTCACTCCTGTACTTTTATAAATTAATAATCAAAATCAATAAAAGTAGTTTTATGCACATTTGAAGAAAATTCTGAAAAAAATAAATAATAATAATAAACTATCATCATCAACACACAATTACAAAAAAAAATATTAGTGTTTGTATTTATGCTTATTGCTAATTAAAGAATGTGTATGTGAGATTAGCAGTTGGATAAGAAAAATTGTTAATTATTTTGGCTAACTCTAGTAATTTTTAATAAATTTTGCTAATTGTGTATTTTGTTAATTTAGTAAGGAAGTACTAACCTTTCGTTACATTCAAAGACTTTAAGACTTTGCTACAAATTATTTAAATGTAGTTGAAGCTGAATTATTTAATTTTAAAATGATTGATTGAAGGTACGTTTGGTGTCATTTTGATTTATGGATTGCCAATTTGGAGTAAGTTTTTCTTGGCTACATCTTTAAAAATAAAATACGCTAAATAAACAAAACTGTTTCAATCTGTTTGGGCTGCCATTTCTACAATCTTACTGTAAAATAAAATTCATTGAAGAATGACACGATGATGACTAAGCTTTATTTAAAGGCATGTAATAAGATTAAGACTATAACTTATAAACTGAATGATATTATATAAAAATGAATGATAGAACTGAATGATATTACATGCTTTTAACATTTACTTATAGCATTACTTAAACTATAAGTAAATGTTAAACGTATATATGATCGAGACGAAGCGTAAAATAATAATACTGTAAGTAAATTTTACTTTGGCCATGTTACCCAAGAATATAAATTATTGATATTTCTGGGGTATCATTCTTTACAAAGAAAGATACCCTAGATTTATTATTGTGTAAAAGTTAGGTAATTAAATGAATTAAAAAAATGTATAAATAATTAATGATTATGTTAAATTTATGTTATTATTAATAATTATTAAATATGCAATATTTAAAAACTAAGAATTTAAACTTTTTTTTGAATCAGGAAAATATTTAGTTGAATAAAAAAGTTGTCATTCAATTGTGTTATAGAAAAATATTGACAGATATGTTATGCAAAAGTTATTTGAATTAAATACTAACTAATTTTCTTTATTCTCGAACTAAAATTTTCCAGATTTAAAAGAGTTTAATTTAAAATTTATTAACAAAATTACACTTTCTACCCTACCAAACGTATGATATAATAACAATATTTAAAATTTTAATCATTTAAATTATATATCATTTAAGCATCAATTAATAACATAACACTGACAATAATATATTTTAAAAATCCATAATGGTTTCAGAGTCATTCTTTAGAATGAAAAAATAACCACCTAACAAACTCTTAGTTAGCCTTCATCCATAATAAATAATATAATCTGAAAATTCCCGCATTCCAAATATTTTTTTTATTTAATCTGTTATTTAGGTTCCCCAATAGTCCTAATGGTCTTATCACAGAGCACTGCGGAAGTGCATTTAACCAGAAAGTTCACGTCCCCTTCCTTACCGTGACGCGAAAAATGTCCAAAGCTTGTTTCGAAACTGGATCTCCTGCTTATAAAGCAAGCGCTCTAATCACTGCGCCACGGCCGTATATATAAATATATATACAAAATATATAAATCTACAATTCCAGTTTACAACATATATCCTCTTCTAAGTGATGCCGTAAATATATTTGTATTTTGTAAAAAAATATTTTAATGGTTATTTGTATTTTTTAAAAAACCAGACATTTTGATAGTTATTATGCTTGAAACTACTCAACACAGTAAAAAACAGTAAAAAAATAAATGCCGTGATAAGCATCAAGTGATACTATTTATTTTTTTAAGTTAAGCATGGCTTATTTCTAATATTTTAAACTTACATTAATAAATTTTCTCATGAATATCTTACCAAATTTTCAGAGAATAACTTTGTCATTCCCTTGACCCATCTTAAAAGAACTTCTTTCCAAATTCAATATTTTAGGCCTTATATTTTCTTATTTTGATTAAAAAAAAAATTTGTCCTAATGCAGTTTAGAAAAAAATTTAATGTTGAATTGCAACCGTATTTACTTAGCAAGCACTTCAATATTATATATTACAAATATCTTTTTTGAAAATAATTTAAAAAGTTGTTGTAAATATTTTAAAACCATCATAAAACAATAATTGCATGTATTTAGCTCTTAGTAAAAAAAAATAATAATAAAATTTATTAAATTAAAATAATAAAATTTATTAGTTAGAATTTATTAGAAAAATCTTTAGTTTTTATACTTAATTGTTTATAATGAAACGCAACTCAATTTTTTGTTGATTAATAACTTTTTTAGTTAAAACTTTATTGTGCTTTAGTTTGAATTTTTATTTAATTTTTTAATTTTTTCCATAAAAATATTATTTTGCAGAAGTTTTGTCTAAATTTGTCATTTTATTTATTATTTATTATGTATTAAATGTCTAAAACGTTGAAAAAACTACGTTTGTAGCGGGTACTCGGTGATAAAACATCTTGTCGATGGCCCCCACATGTGAAGTGGTTGGTGGCGGTACTGTAGCACTGGAGCCTGGAGGTAAAGATGGCCCAAATGGTGGTAGTAACTGGAAAAATAGTAAATCCGAGTAAAATATTATTGTTTTGATATAAAAATAAATGTGAAAAGAAAAACTTTTGAACTTAAAACTTTGTCTTAAATTAAAAAGTTGAAAACAAACAGACATTTCAACAATTCAGGTAACCTTCTTGTTTTTTTACTTATTTTGTATATATTGTCGTTTTTTTACACTGATTTCTCTGAGCGATTCCTGAAGCTAAACTCATCTTTGTTATGAAATATAAGTTATTAGTCGCTAACGTTAGCAAGTAACATTTATAATTGCACTTAAAAGCGTTATGGTCTTAAAACTATAATGCGGACCGTTGTGTAAACTAATTCCCGCATTTTTTCCACTGATCTCAAAATATAACTGGATAACGGATTTTATTGTTTTTTCCGAAAAAAAGTTGAAGCCAAAATTGGCCTCCCAAGATGGCGGGGATTTAAGTTTCTAGCGGTGAAACCAATTTAGATTTTACATGACTTTATCAAATTACGATAGAAAATAATTAAAAAGGCTAATAAATTTGTTAAAAAAAAATAAAAAAAAATGAAATTTAAAAATATTAGAGAAAAAAAAAGGAATTATTTTTTGAATAATTCAATTTATTATTAAATGGCATTTACAATTATAGTTAACTTTTGTGTATAATTTATGTACCTTTTAGTTCTTAGTTACCCAAACCTGTATGCTAGAAGTTTAATAACATAACAGCATGGTAAGCAGCAATTATCTCTACCTACAATTTTATATTCTCTATTTTTTGTAGCAAGATACCATTTTGTACAAATGCTGCATGAACTATTAATTGAGTGCTGTCATAATACTGGGGTATACAAATTCAGGGGTTCCTTTTAGAATTATATTATAATTCTATTATTACATAAATTGTTTGAATAAAACATTCTGAAGTGTCACTTATGCTGGTAAAAAAAAACAAGTCTGAATTATAGTTATTTATATCAACTTTTAAAGCAAATAAAAACTAAATAATCATTTCTTATAATTTAAAGGATAATCACTCAATAGAATTGAGGATGTATGTAACAAATTTTATATACATCCTCAAACAAACATTTATTTGAAAAAACAAATTTATTAAATTTTTAATATAGAAATATTAAGAACATCTCTTTGAAATATCTCATTAACTAAAGTTATATATACTGTTTACCTGCTGTTAAGTATTAAAGTTATGTTATAGTTTATATAAAGGCTGACTTTTTATATTATTAGACTGTATGTTGCAGTTAAATAATTGTATAAAAATGTTGTTGAGTTTATTTGCATAAAAGATTCATTACATCACATACTAAATTCACAAAACCTATTTGCCAAAGGATACAAGTCAGCATTGTGTTCATATAGCAAGGCTATCCTCAATTCTTTGTTTTCCATTTCTTGACATGGTATATAATTATATCATTTGTCTTAAAGAGATTAACTGTTACGCAAATGAATTTGTCTAGTATAAAAACTGGTTTCACTAGACATTCAGTAACAAATAAAACATATATCTTGACTGAGTAGAAAAAGAAGGTTCGCCATAAAATTATTTAACATTTAAGCTCAGTCAAAACCATCTAACAAATTCTTTATTACGCTGTGAAATCTTAATTAGCTGTGAGATCTGCAAGAATGTTTAACAATAATATCAATTGCTAACAGTTTACAGCCACATATAAACAACTCAAGATGTGAATTAGGGTTCAATTTTCCAATGGACCTGCAGCATCAGAGATAAAACTCATATTTCAAAAATTTTTAGACAATTCTTTTGCTCACTCCAGTACTAAAATTGAATTAACAAAACAATATGATTTGTTAAAGAGAAAACCAACTAATAGTGACCACGAATATACAGATATTCCAAATTAAATACAAAAAAGGTTTGATTTCATATATTGCCACGAATATGCAGCATTCTATCTAAATACAAAAAAGCTTTGATTACATATATTGCCAGATATGTAGTTAAAATGGCATCAAAAAAAATATCTCTCTCTCTCTCTCTCTCTCTCTCTCTCTCTATATATATATATATATATATATATATATATATATATATATATATATATATATATATATATATATATATATACAGTCGTGGCCAAAAGTTTGGAATCGCCCAATATTTTTCAACAAAAACCATGTTTTTTCTAATTTATTGCATACAAATAAAGATAGTATAGCACCAATTCATATAATACTGCATATTAGACTAGAGTATATAGCACCTACAATGTTGAACAAATCTAACAATATAAAAAGTTGCAAAAATTTAATATTTGGTAGGATAACCGCGGTTCTTTAATACAGCAGCAATTTGACGTGGCATGCTCCAAACAAGTTTCTTGCACAGTTCTGGTGTTATCTCTTTTTTCCAAACTTCCACTAGCTTCCTCTGTAAATCTTCAATATTCTGTGGCACCTTTCTTCTCACTTAACGCTTCAGTATGGTCCACAAATTCTCTATGGGGTTAAGATCGGGGCTGTTACCCGGCCAGTCGAGAATGGATACCTTGTTTTTTTTGAAGAAGGCTTGCATCACCTTGGAAGTGTGGCATGGAGCATTGTCTTGCTGAAATATGGTTGTTCTATGTGACTCCATGCTTGGGAGCAGCTTTTCCTGTAGAATTCCCAGATAAATCTGGGAATTTACTCTCTGTCCCTTCGGTACAAAATGTAACCGGCCGCGAAATCGAGCTGAGAAGCAACCCCACACCATTATTGACGGTGGATGTTTTACAGTAGGCACAGTGTACTTCTGAACATACCTGGATCCTTGTGGTCTTCTAACATAATTACATGATGTCCCAAATTGTTCAAATGTGCTTTCATCAGAAAACATTACTTTCTCCCAGTCCTTCTC